AAATAATATACAAAACTGAATCGATTTCTTTGTTACAAGTATAACAAGGAGATACTTGTTTTATTTGTTATATGATGAGAGAGTATCTAGTCTAATTTATCTAATAGTCGATATTGTTGTTTTTTTTCGGACAATGAAGTCAATGACATTCAATTACAGAATATTGTAAACAATTACAAAAAAACAAAACTAAGTCGAATGATATACTATTTTCGCATTACTTTTAACTTTTAATTAAAAAATGTGGTTGAAATGGACTACTGACAGATTTATTTAAAATGTTTTTTATGTCAAAGTTTTTTCAACACTCTTGATAACTGTTAATCATTTAAATTCAATCATGAATTTCAAATTTTGATAACTACATTTTGGGTTCACTCCCATTTTGACGTAATGATGCGAGATTTCTCGTCACGAATGATAATTTTTTTATAAAAGGAGAAAAGTCTCACAACCAGTTGTAAGATGGGAAAATGTTAATTTTAGGTAGATGATAGAACCTTCCAAGAGTAACAAAAATGGATCGTTCGATTTTTTTCTTATCTCAACAGTCAAAGGAATAAAATGACATAAACTGGTTTTTAGATCTTTTATATTTTCTAATAAAACACTTAGTACGCTTTTTGTAGAAAATTTCACAACCGTTTTTTTTCTACTAAAAAAAGAAAGTTTTAGACGAAGACATAAACAAATTACAAAACTGTCGATTATAGCTGAATCATCCGTTATTCTTTCATTGAAGTTGAGTTCGGCAAAGTGTGTTTTGTTTTTTTAAATCATATTTCTCACTTACAACTAGAGGCTTGCGGGACCAAACTTTTTTGGTCCCGGTCCCATAAATATTTTTCCAAAATAGCACTGATACTTTGAAAGTCAGCGCGTTGTAATGCGGCTCGTGGAACATACAAACAAGCACAGAAACTACGAAATTTTTATGCTCCATACAAGACTATTTTCAAAGAAACCTGATCCCGGCCGCGATAAGTCCTGCGGAGCCGGGACCATCCCGCAGGTCTGGGACCGTCCCACAGATCTCTAGATCACAGCCCATGAAGTTTGGTCCTGATCCCGTAAAAAGCCCCACGGGATCGGGACTGGGTTGGTCCCGTAGATCTCTGCTGACAACTCTCTTGTACAAGTCGAATTGAATGGAAAAATCTTATTCTGTCAATAGATCTATCCAATTTTTTTAGAACATCCAGTTTTATCAAAAGACATTCAATTATATGTAATCAGGCCTAGTATTTATGAATATTATATTGAAATAGGAAAAATGCAGTTATGATTATGAATGATGAAAAAATTTCATTAAAGTGCATTGTTGAATTTTCTGTCGACATCAATAGTTTTATGTAACGTGTGCATAGAAAGAAAAGTGTACACCTTATATAGAATCGAAAGAAAAACTTGTATGACGTTGGTTCTTTCGTCAGACTTAGGCAATATTGTAACAGAATTGAGAAAACAAACATGATCGAACATATAGTTAAAAGTCTCTCTGTTCGCACTAGATCGACATTTAAAATTAGAATGACGGAAAACTGATTAGAAAAATTTCGGTCCAATACAGAATTATATCAAACTCCTGCAGTTATTTGGCTAAAAAAGAAAAAATGTGATGTTGCAGCAACAGAAGAAGACAAACGGCTTGGTCGTTGGATACTTTCTTCTTATGATGGCGATTCTATAATTGTTTATCAGGCATATAATCCGACTATAGCTGAATATGCATGTAAACATGGAAAATTTAGTGGATGTCCTGAATATAATGAACGAAGAATGACTTGGATTAAAACAAATTTTCTATGGATGATGTATCGGTCAAATTGGGCTCACTCACCAGGTCAACAACGAATACTAGCCATTTGGCTACATCTCAGACAATCGTTGGCTTTTGACAATTATCTCAGACAATCGTTATCATCAGTGAAAGAAGAAGCTGAACAACAACGTCAGAATGAATCAATAGGAACTGATGGTCTCATTCGACTTCAATGGGATCCGGATCATACGCCCTCAGGCACATCGGTTGAAGGTAGACGTGCAGTTCAACTAGGACTAAAACAAGTATCAACTTTTCTTAATGGTCAAGATATTTTAAGAATTATTGATATCACACAATTTGTTCATGAACAACAAAATGCAAAATTAGAAGATTTAAAAGTTCCTATCGAGAGAATTTATGAACCTGATGATTTGGAAACAAGAGAACATGTAAAATTAGATTTGAGGGTTTAATTTATTTGACACAAGAAAAATAAAGAAACCAGAGAGTAGAACGGTTGATAAGAGCTAACAATTTTAGATGAGTTAACATTAACTTTATATTGTAGTAGAACACATGTCTTGCGTCAAGAATTTGTCATTCTAAATAAATTAAATCGATTTTCTAGTACTATAAGAAGAGTTTAAGATCTACTTTTTATGTAAATTAGTCATCATTTCGATTTTAAGATCATTTGCGAATTGAAGCTGAATTTGGTCAAGTTGATTCTCTGTTTTACCTCAGAAGACGCATGATAATACTATAGATGAAGATAATGGTTGACAAAAAGTTTCATAAGAACAGCATTTACAGTTGATATTATGTGAGTAAGTGTTCTGCCTTATTTTCTCAACATAAGACATTCTGTCTTATTTTCTCAACAACATTTTCTCAAGTGTTCTGTATTTATTTTTAAATCGTTGTCCTCGTATCTAGAATATTCCAGATATTTTCAATTGATTATACATCTACAAATTTGGCATCAGCATCAGCAGGTGTTATTCGTCTTTTGAAAACATTTTCAACTGTTTTCATAGCAACACGACTTTACTTTTAGATAATTTAGACCAAAGGTAAACTTCATAGTTTTAGTGTTCGATTCGAACAACTGTGTGGTGTTGTGCTTTGCTTTCCTTCTGTTCTGTCGTAGTCTCTCTCTTTCTTTCTTTCCCTTTCTCAACAGGCGTTCATTGTTTGGAATCGATGTTATCCTGTAAAATAACCTTCTTTAAGCTAAACTGAGGTCTTTATATGCTAGTGTCGGTATTTCATGAAGAAATTGTGGATATATATTTTTCTAGTTTTTGGTAAAAACTGACTTTTTGAAAACTTATTTTCTGATTATGATTCATTAATGCGTTCTTTTCAATGATGTTCCTTACCAGTGTTTTATAAACAACTGATTGAATAAAGGAGAGACAAATGTAATTTAACATGGGTTTTATACCGCTTGGCTTAGACTACAACTAGACCAGAAAAAGTTCCATTTACGTCGCTTTATAGCAATACAAGAATTTTCTTTACACTAGCTTCAGGACTTCTGACCTATTCTATAACAGTAAGAATACCACTGAGATAAGTTTGAAAAAAAGTTTATATTTTAATTATTGATAAAAGTAGCATACAATGCAAAAGTAATTAGATGAATACATTTGAAACAGTATTGTTCTGCTGTTCATGAAGTTAGGCACATACTTTTTGTTTGAAAGAGCGTAGTCTAAACTGCAAAACGTATGTCAGGAACATCTGTGTCCGACAGAACTCGACGAAAATTTAAGTACTAAAGGTCACTAAAATTGTGTGCCATTTTACTTGTTAGTGCAAATAAAAAATTAATATATCCTTGAAATGCCTCTAAAACTAAAGAAACAAGGATCACAAACAACCTATCCGGCTTTCCGAAAGCAGACAGATAGACGAGGCGTCTGTCAACTGACCCAATCGTCATGCTCGAATGTTTCCAGTCTCCAATAAAAACACGTATCCTGTAGAATTTGATCATGTGTACCTAATAGCTTTGTCATGCTCTTGTAGTCGGACACTTCAATATTATAAAACGCCTTGTCGGTCTGTACAGTAAACGAGGATATTAAAACACACACGTTATATAATATCAGAATTATCACACGCTTTTTTATGCAGTTTTATTTGCGTTCGATTCTAAAGTCACAGCACGCCTGAAGGAGATCTATAGAAGTAGAGGCACGTGGGGCAATTAGAACGCGGTCAAAAAGTGTTGCGCTATTTTTCTCGTAACTTTGAGAGCTTAGAAGTTTTCACAAAACTTCTAATGCAAAAGTTGTAGACTAGGGTGTTAGGCACCGATTGGTGCAAAAATCAATCGGAAATCTTACCGGCAAAAAGATTGGGAGCAGTTTTACTGGAGAAGGATCCGAAACGTTCTTATTTCCCGCAAGTGGGAAATTAGAATGTTTGCTGTATCTGCATGGGGTAAATAGAACGCATCTACCAAAACACATGAGATTCTTCCACAAACGTATTTTGACTTTGATAATCGTGCTTTCAGGTATATTGAAACACACGGTAGATATAAAATGTAGCAGGCATTCACCTCTATCCGCCTATATTGATTAAAAGTCTAACGTACTATAAGATCTCAAGATAGTTTGTCCACCACATATGAGACTCTAATTTCAAAAAAATTCTGTGCGTTTCTATTTCCCACAAGTAGGAAATTAGAACGTTTGCTGTGTCTGCATGAAGTAAATGGAATGCATCTACCAAAAGTAATGGGATTTTCTTCAAAATGTATTTTCTATTTTATATCTCTATTTCACATTATAGATACAAAGTTTCTTAGGAAAAGATTTAGAGAATTGTTTCACTCACGAGCTAATGTACTTTGAAAAGTCAATGCACGTACTCCGGAATATGACGGAGAGCACGAAGAGGATTTTCCTATGTTCATACAACGTGAACATGGAGAAATGCAAAGAATTATTTTACAGTACAAGGAACGATGAACTGTCACAGGCCTAGTCTCGATTTGTGGATATTTCTTGCTCATGCACTACGCAGTTTTTTTTTGTCTCAGTGTTTCTTGAAGTCAAGCATTATTTTTCATCTGCATTGTTTTTCGATATAATGTATATAACGAGCTGATCATCTTTACATAGAATGCACAGCAGATGCGTGTTCTATAACAGTGTTTACGAAAAAAAAGAACTGACCGTTATATGACATGATACATGCAGTTCATTCTTTTAACTTACAAGGGAAGGCTCTCAACTGTCCAATCGCTTTTGAGACGAAACCTAGTGGATTATAGGTTATCGACTATTCTGATTCCGAATATGACCATGGCAGCTGCCAATAGGTCTCCGCAGATCCGATTTTGGAAAACCAGTTTTTCAGAAACTCTGAAAAATAACTAAAACCTTCCTTAATAAGGCCTGATTGTAGCCTGCACATTTCTGATTAAAATGAGACATCTCCCAGCTCTACATGAGTTTTCTTTGCAAAGTTATAGCTTTTACAAGAAAAGCCCTAACAAGGGAACCTCTCGAGGTTATAAATCGCTTTTTGATCGAAATTGAGTGGGATATAGGTTATCGACCATGCTGATTCCAAATATGATTATGGGAGTTCCCCATGGTCGTTCGAAGATCCGCTTTTCTGGAAAAGCAGTTTTTCAGAAACTCTAAATAATAATCAAAAACCTTCTTAATGGGACATAATTGTAGCCCGGAAATTTCCTTAAACTTTGAAAAAACCTTTTAAGGATAAAAAAGCTAAAATTTTTTAAGACCTGAAGAATGGCCTACGAGTTAAAAACAAGCAAAAATGTCTTAGTTAATGGTTTTTGATAAGTCCACGCATATGCCCGAGAATACGAGTCCAATTTCATTGTTTTTTCACCGATTTCGGAAAACC